TGTATGTGATATATGTTAGTTAACACTTATTAAAGGCCAGTAACATTGTAGTCAATGTGACTGCGGTCAGTTCACATTTGCAATAGTCTGTACAAATTCCCTGTATGCCCCAATACAGCCTATGGAAATCAACACAACTGAAAAGAATTGACATTAGGCTATTTTGTTACCAAACATTCTTCAAAGGGCAGTTGACAAGTAATATCTTTGTAAGTTGTCCTAGTAGTTTACAAACTTTACCAAACCATGCTCAATACTGTCTGATTCTACAGTTAGCGGCCTTGTACAATAACACAGAACATGTATATAATTATACTGGGAATCAACTCACAATATATATTCATGAAAAAAATATATATATTTTCGGGTGGATAGGTACACCACTTAATAGGTGTTAGTCACTAATAAATAATGATAATTCAAAGTAAATTTTGAATTTAAGATGAAAATAGCCAAACTGGAAAAATCATCTATGTCAGCTATATATTCACTTTGGATATTCTGGCCTTAAATTCGAAATTCCCTTTGAATTCACTTGATGCCCAAATTTGTAATACGTAGAAAATATACACATGTAAAATAGTATAAGCAATCTCTGGAGAAAAGAAAATATGAAAGGGTTAATAGAGGCATAAAATTACAATAACATATAAAGTAGTAATTAAATATACAACACAATATTAACTAATATTGTGTAAATACATTGTGTGTACATTTTGTAATCTATGTATGCCTATGCTATATCTATGAAAGAGAATAGTAAGGCGAGAGATAGTCAGAAAGTTTAAAGATATAAAGAAATAGGAAAGAGGAGGTAATGGGAGGCAAATAAGGCAATACAGATAGAAAGGAGAGAATAGAGGAGTGGGGAAGGAATTGAGAATGAAGGATAGAAACACAAACTGTGCAGACTGGATTAGAAAAGGAATGATAAATGAAATGCCTAATCTGATCATATCCCAATGCACACAGCTCCCCACCTGTGTAACCCTCACTCTGATAAGCAACTGCTCAGCTGGGACAGACAGACAGAGACAGACAGATTGATTTCTTGTTCTCTGTAACTTTACTATTAACTAAATCCTTTAATTTGGAATTATAAAATCTCAGTGTGTTATTATCCACAACTTAATTATCTTATTGCTAATTTATGTCAATAGCTGTAATACATATGTAAAATTGCTCAGAGAGAGACAGATTCAGGGCAGGATTGATGAGGAAAGGAAGGAGGGACAGAATGCTTTGACATAGAAGGGGTATGAACTTTGTAAGAATAATGAGATACAAGGACATGGATGGATGGATGGATGGATAGATACATACATACTGACATACATACATTAATGGATCAATAATATAGATAGAGGTGTCTCTCTATGATGTGCTACAGTTACCTCCTTAAAGGTGCTCTTTGCTATACCATAAGTCTAATGTGCAGATGCTAAGGCTTCAATAGTTGATGCAGCAAGGTTTGCTAACTGTGAGGTTACTAAAGACAGTGAAAAGTGATCTGATGAATCCAAATAGACTGTGAAGTTAAAATAAGGTTAATTTTACCAAAATCACTAGAACCCATATATTCAGCATGTATGAAGCCCCCATTAACAGCTATCCCTAGCTTGCTGTAGGAGAGTGTTCACACCCTGTTTTCTTACACAAACTCAATATTATTTCATATGTCTTGAGCATACATAGTATACAGTATAAAATGTGTCTTCCTCATGCACAGACTAGCTCATTGGAAACCAGAGACAGAATTCAATTTCCCAACTTCTCTAAATATAGCTTGTTAAAGGGAAATAATCTATGTTGTAAAATTATTATTGTTATGAAATATCCCATAATGTGCCTGCATTAACTGTTTCTTTACTGGTGCCTTCACAATGAACCCAATGATGCACATATGAAAGTGGAGGTGGGACACAAAGACAGCAAACATTCTACAAGAAATCTTGTATTTACATTAGATGCTGAGGCAGAATAGGTCAGCCCTGTGATGCAACAGGGAGGCTGACAGATGATATATACTGGCATCTAGCATGAGCTATGCCCCAGTGTTATCTAAACACCCTTCTAGTTTATTGCAGTGCTCAGAGCTACCTTTTTACTTTTCTATCTATTCCTACAGATATAAAATCCTGTTCTTAACATTGAGAGACTGTATACCTATTAAAAACAAACAAACACAAATGATAAGTAATAACTAAGTTACAACTGTTAAGTATAATTTTAATATGCATTCTGTTTGGTATACTCGCTAAATATAGAGTTGCCTTGCCTGGATTCAAACCAGTTTTCCAAGTGTGGGAATATAGTCAATTAAATTAGTTAAGACTTTAAAGAAAACTGCAGATTAAGAAGGTATTCATTAAGTAGTTAATACAAATAGATATTAAACATTTTGAGAAACATGACTGGTGTGGACATATTCTCTGACCCAGTTTTGATCACTGATTCGATATTGTAGGTGTTCATTGTTTAGTGAATAATTATATTTATACATGCTACTGGGGGCTCTGTCCACTAAACAGCATATTGTGCCGAGTAATAAACCGACTTGAATTGCTAATTGTAGAGTTATTTTAAATGCAATTTCTGTTTGCTTCCCACTACCTGCAATGTACAAGTCGGTTGTGAATTTGTTGTTTAGTAAATAGACCCCTTTACTGAACTTTCTAGATTAAACAAAAGAAGTTCATAGTTTCACCAGGACAGCCTCGCAGAAATCCAAACATCTTGAACCATCATTCAATACTCAGGGGAAAGGATTCGTGCACTTTAACGACTTGCTTAACATTGTTACATTGTTAATTTGTTAAATATTTTTTTTCTACTAATTCATGCAAATATTGTATCTTTGGTCAGCTTGCAGGCCGACAATCTTGCAGGTTAGGTGTTACAAATATAAATAATATGTGTTCCACACTGGTAAGTTATTGATTTCAATCTGTGAGGGACAATTTGCCAACAGCTACAAAGAAGCTAGAATTGATCCACAGCATTTACCTAGTGCATAGCCATGTGGCAAATAGTGAGATGTATCGTAAGTAAAGCAAATGGCATGAAATGAAATTACTAAACAGTTATGCAAATAAAATCAACATTTTAAATGTTTCCTTTATTTCAGAAACGTCTTATATTTCCAATAGAACAAACAAATGGAATGACGGATAGAAAGAGAGAGAGAGAGAGAGAGAGAGAGAGATTGATAGATAAACATAGTGATTACATAAATATATCTACTTTTTTTTTTTAAAATCTTAAAAAAAGTTTTTCTGCCGTGATATAAAAATCACAATGTTTTAATGAACTTATTAACTATTCTCCTCGTTCCTCACTAGTTACAGTCTAGAAATTATCTTTTAAAGGCAGCCTATCTGTATGTATGGGCATAAAAGTAAAAATAAATATATAGTGATTAAAAGAATGTGTCGAATAATTATTTCTTTGAGAAAAATAAGACAGAAAGACGAACAGACTCACAGAGTTCCTTAATTGTGGAACAGACTTCCACAGGAAACCAATTAAAAAAGAATCAAATGAAAACCGAATTAATTGTTAATACTTTATTAAATTACATAGTTTGCTACAACTGTATAAAATAGCTACAAAATGTAGCTACAGATGTAGCTATTTTATTACACTTTGTAGATAAGCAGTTATTGCATTAAATGTATGTACTTACATTGCATGGCATGGTTTATCTACTAAATAGTGAGTTCAGCTAAATTGAGAACAGACTGGCACACTATAGACTAAACAGCCTGTAGGGTACAATCGCCACTCTAGAGGAGATATTTGTTTTTACAACTCTGCTATTTTATCCTACATTTTAAAGTTCTTCCACTAATTATGACAACTCACTGCTTAGTGAATAAACTATTGATTCTTACCAGATCTGGCTACAGAACGATCTGTTTTAAGCAGACACACATACACACGTCCCAAAGCCTATTGTACAATATGGAAAGGACAGGAGAGAGGGCATTATATCCAAATACAGCATCACAGGACCTCTGTCAATACATTGATTTAAGATCCAACCTTGCTGTGTGGCTAGGGTAAGTAAGTAAGGGGTGATTGAATAATAGAGATTATTCCTTTAACTTCATGTAGAGAATACTGTTTACTGACATATATCTGTAAAAAAAATTTCATATAAATAAAAAACGTCCCTTGTTATTTGTATACATACGAAAATCTACAAAATAAATAGTATTGATCGATTTCTCACAAAAGAGATGTCCCATTGGAAATCTTGCATTCTGTTGTTAGAGGCGAGGAATGGAGATTTTACCCCTGAGTCTGAGGATCCACCGCAGTGACAAGTGAGATTGTTATTTTGTACTAAGTCAAATTGTAATGGGGTTAGATGACCTCTGACCTCAGCTAAGGAGTGCAATCCTTCAAATATCCTGCGAGATAGCAGCCATGGCAGACCAGGACTCATTGTGCAGCAAAGAGAGAGAAATAAACAAACTTTAGTGCGAAGTTCATCCCTGCATAACAAACAAGAGCTGAAAAGAATTCATTAAACCACTACAAGAAAAATATTTAATGAAGAATAAGAAAAAATGTGTCCTGGTCTATTGGTTTTATGTAAAGCCTCTTATCTATATCAACGTAAGTGAAAATTACTGATAAACTGATCCATTTTGATAGAGTGACTGTGTAATGTAACATTTCAGATTCAGTGATTTACAAGATACAGGCTACTGATATGCTACATTTATATACTTTATTATACACTGTGTGAAATATGCATGTGTTCATTTAATTTCATTTTATTCATACACACACACACACACAAACACAAACACACACACACACACACACACAAACACATTTAACATGCATTATGTGATGATTATCAGTGGGTGGGGGCTATAAGTTCTGAAAATGCATCTTCTTCAAAGTGTCTCCTCCCTTTCGTGATTTGGCTCAGCCTCTCCCCGCCCTCCATCCAATAAATAAATTACTACTGTCCACATGAAATTCCTCAGCTCTCTTCTTTAGACAAACACTGGCAACAGGCGTGTCCAGTCTATTACTAAGCAAACACATCCCCTTTATACAGCATTAATTCACACCTTGATCCCACAAGGAGAGGAGCAGCTAGCGGGCCCCACCACACACCATGTCTACTGGTTCTCTCAGTGATGTGGAGGACTTCCAGGAGGTGGAAATGGTGGGCTGTGATGGCATGAAACTGGATTCCAGCAAAGAGTTTGGCATTTCTAATGACAGTAACGAGGAAAGCTCTGTTTGTGATAACGAGTCTCCCAAGAAAGGCAGAGGGCAAGCAGGAAAAAGGAGGAAAAACCCCAGTAAGAAGAGTCCATTGAGTGGAGTCAACGGTGAGGGGAAACAGGTCCAGAGGAACGCAGCCAATGCCAGGGAGAGGGCAAGGATGAGGGTGCTCAGCAAAGCCTTCTCCAGACTCAAGACCACCCTGCCCTGGGTTCCTCCGGACACAAAACTGTCTAAACTAGACACCCTTAGACTGGCATCCAGTTATATAGCTCATCTGAGGCAAATTCTGGCCAATGACAAGTATGAAAATGGCTATATCCACCCTGTCAATCTGGTAAGTGGGCAAGTAGACATTTACTAAACACAATCCAGGAGAAATGGAATAATCAGCTTGCTTTCATAATAGTTGAATGCACTCCAAGTATACGTGTTGTGCTCAGTATTTAACACGGACTCACTTATCAGTCCTAGTGGTGGGTTCCAACTTAAAAGATATGCTTGTGAACTACAATTCCCATGATTCTCAGCCAGCGGTCCACACTGTGCTGTGCTAATGATAGATATTGCTGGGCTCTTTGAATAGCTTATTTCGTTTACTGATTTCTAATCGAATGATTGTATCATTTATAGGTTGCTGCATTGTCTCGTGTGCTTATAAAAAATTGAGAAGATTGTGTGTGTTGGTGTTGAAGCCCAAATTTGTTTGTGTATTATCCGTGTGTGCTTTATTCTGTTGTGTGTGTGTTTTATCCAGATGTGCATGTGTGTCTTACACTAATGTGTGTGTGCATGTTTTATCATAATATGAGTGTGTGTGTGTGTGTGTGTGTGTGTGTGTGTGTGTGTGTGTGTTTTATCATGTGTGTATTTCTGTGTGTTTTTATCCTGATGTGTGTGACTGTCTTTTTTTCCTGGTGTGACTGCTTGTATGTTAGCCTTACATGTGTACATCATAGTATGTGTGTAGGTGTGTTATATCCTAATGTGTCACATTCTGAAGAACTACAGTCTCAGTCATATTTCATGTTATCTGCTCTTGCAGTAAATAATGGATCTGGCTGTGGGGTTGTTGGAAGAATGCCTGTACCAGGATGATATCTGTTCGCTTGGAACTAAACGTCTTATTTTAAACAATTATACTCACTAATTGAAAAGTGTTATTGTAATTTAAAAGTAAGAAATGGATCCTGTTAAACGCATTGATATCTTAAATTTTATTCTGGTTCAAACCAAGGGCACAAATGACTCACATGACATAATTATACATTAAAGCATTTATTTATGCTTTCATTTTCCTTATTTTTCGATTTTATCTGGCTGTAATGTAAAACAGACTAGGCTATGTATGAAGTTAAAAGAACTAAACTAACACACAGATTTACTAAGCTTCCATACAAGTAATGCAGGATTATACAAGATTTTGATAATTTGATTTGTTTTATACAATAAAACAAATGTAATAATAACACTGCTCTGAAAAGTGTAAATAAGTACATTTTATATGTGTTTTTTAAAGAAGAAAATGAAGTGGGCATGAATCATTTCTATGTTAATATCTGCTTGATCTTTTAGTATATGACTAATCCTGCTATGTCAAGCATTCGAATCCCACACAGTTTTTATTATTTTAACAACTACTACCCCCTATTCACTTCTGGATGTGTGTATGTATTTATATATGAGGATTATATCTGTATATGTATGGTTAAGGTATGTGTTTGTATATTGGGCTAATTTGAAAACAAGTTTTGAAAATTAACAAATACTGCTGCTTGGGGAAAACAATTCTACAAGACAACTAGATTTCCAATTTGGCCAAATAGGCCTAAAATTGCATTTTGCACAAATTAACTACTTAGTGAATAAATCCCACCATTATGGTATATAAATATGTACTATAATAATTATGCTATCAATATTAATTCACATTTTAAATACTATAATAATCTTAACATATTACAATATTTATTTCATTGATATATTAAAACTTAAGATACACATCATTTCAGGGTTATTCAGTAAAGTGTCAATTGTCTGGAAATGAATTGAAAATGAATTTCATATTTTAGGCTATAATAGCCGATTCGGAAAAATTCTCCAAGTCAGCAATGTTTTCATATCGGCTATTCTGGCCTTAAATTTCAACATTTACTTTGAGTACACCTTAAATCCTGGTATGCATAACACCGAAAATGTTTCCTTTCTGGGAGTAAAATAAGAAATGTAAAAATTAAATGCATATGATTTTCACATTTCATTTATTTATAATTAGTTGATTGTTTTGTAATTTCTGCATGATATGCAGACATGACTGATTTTATTTCCTGTGTCTTCTTGGCAGACGTGGCCCTTTATGGTTGCTGGCAAACCAGAAAACGACCTGAAAGAAGTAGTGGGTTCTGGGCGCCTATGTGGGAGCACAGCATCTTGACCCTATAGAACTGTATGGAAAACTGTGTCTGGCAACAAATGCACATCTACCAAAACATGCAAGGACAATCAGACTGCTTCAAAGGAGAGGACCAAATGTATATATGAGTTTTGTATCATTACAAAAACAATCATTTCTATTTAAGTGTATGGCTTTGTGCATTGTGTGTTGCTCTGAGTCTGGCTGGTCCAAGCACTCCAGTAATCCTCTGCAATTTTGTACAATACTTTGTTCCACGTGGAGAAGTCTAGAAAGATGGCTTTGAGAGTCAATTCTAGAAATAACTCTCATTTGAGATATATAAATTTATATATATTATGAAAATATATATTTTTTTTTCTTCAGACAGTTTTAGATATTTCTGTGAATAAATCTTTGATTATATATTTGAAATATATTCTCTGTTTCTTTGAAAGATCGTAATAAATTATTATTAATAATAATAATTATTATTAGAATTATTCGTTAAGCTTAAGTTTGGTTGGTTTTGGCACGGTGAACACTGAAACAATTTAAAAAAAATAACTAGTCCATTTTGATAAAGATTTCATCTTGATTGATCAGTAAATGAAATACATTTAAATTAAAAGAAATATAATTATTAAATATATTAAATATAATTATATACAAACTTACAAATATATATCTTTGTAAATTAACATTTACCTCGTGAGACATTCATAAAAAAAAAAAGATTTTAATTTCTTCAGTTTATAATTAATATTGTGAATGTGAAAACATATTCACTGATAGCATATAAAAAAATTACTCTAGACTCATTATTATTGCATTTAAAGAATATATTTTAAAGGACGTACTTAAGGAATTTAAAAATGGAATTTGGGATTTTTTAAATATTATTTTTTTTTAATTTCAATTTTTTATCATTGCTTATGCTTGCTTTCTCCAATAAAATAAATGCTGACACAGGGCGAGAATCCCCTCTAGAACATCAACAGGATTTCGATTACTCGGTAGCCATAATTGTAAAATGTATTTAGGGGTCAGTTCATTAGCAGGATAATTCACTACAGTGAGAATTCGAATTCAATTTAAAATTTAAGGCCAGAGTAGCCGAACTGAAAGCACAGCTGATTTAGAACATTTCCCATTTCGCTTATTTTGACCTTAACTTTGAAATTCACGTTGGCTTCACACTTATTTAAATAACCCTGTGTATCTCATATTTATCAATCTGGATTGACATTGATGACAGATTTAGATTTATTCACTAAATACCGAATTGTAGAGTATTAAAAAACGATTTGCAAACTTAAGGGGAAAATAACGGATTTGGGGAAAACAATCTCCAACTCAGTTATTTCGACATACACTTGCTATTCGGTTTTCAGTAAATACAATATTTTTGAAACTGGAAAAAAATATTCAACTCAACTGATCTGGATATTTTTTATTGCCTGTTGTTTTTTTAAATGTTGCAATTCGGTTGGCAATTCGCTACTAAACGAACAGATTCCAGTGTTTGTTGAATAGCTCCTTCTGTTTATTGTATCTACCCATTAGATGTATATATATAATGAAGTCTGATTATATAGCAAACAGCACAATTGCAGAAATAACTCTTATTTGCAAAACTCTTTTCTCAGTTTTAGAAGTTTTTAGAAGCATTAGTTCACTGTGTAGTTTTATTTTCTATATAGTGGGATCTGGCTTCAGGCCATAAACACCAGGATAGTCTTTTGCAATTTCCCTGAAGTAGATGAGGTCTTTATTAGGTCAGTGCAGACAGAGAACCAGCATTAATACACAAAGTAAGCTCACAGGGCTAAGCATTGCTTTAACTAGGCCACCTACTGTCTGTCTTATCTCCATTTTACACACTCATGCACTTTATTTTTGTAAGAGACTCTTGGAGTTTTCTGCACTCTGCCTATCTGATTAAATGCATGCATAATGTCAGCTCTCTCTGCATGGTATGTAAGAATTGAGATAGTGTATCAGCTATGCCAGGAGAGCATTTAGCATAATTAATTAACCCTTCAGGAGCCAGGATTTGGCAGCGAGTCCTCACCCCTTCCACCCTGGAAAGGTTAATTATTTATTACAGTTCTGAATTATTGTTCGATTAAAAAAGGATCTTGTGTGTGAGAGCACGGGTTGTTAGAATTCAAATGTTCGACAATGTGCCATGCCAGGACCCCCATTTCCCTAAATATTCAGCCATTGTAGACTTAAGCAGGCTTTGTGGATAGAAAACATCTACAAAAAAACTGTCAACTCCCAATATGCTCAGCCAGACTTTATGGCGCGAAAGAAAGCCTTGGACAGTTCTACTGCTGTGGATTCCATACCAGGTTGTGATGATGGGAGTTGCAGTCCAAAGAGGCTGTCTGATTTTTTTTTTCCCCCCTCATCTTTTCCATGTTGTGTTTTTTACTTACTTGGGCGATGAAATGGTTAATCACAGAGTTCCCACCAGCTCTAGAAACTAGAACCAAGTGGCACGGGTTTATTCTCCCTCCATGGGCTTAGGTTTAAACATTGCAGCAGATTAGAGGAGATAAACAGAGCAATGAGAGAGGGAGAGAGGGGGAGATAGTGGGAGCCAGGTCTCATACTCCAGATCCCACCAGAGCTGCTCTATGTTTCAGGGTTATGACCGCAGTGTTTACAAGATGTCCCGGGTTATTTATTCTGTTGTACTAGCACAGAGCTTTACATTTCCGCTTCACTTGTTCTTTCTGTATTTTCTTTGCTGTGCGATACCTGCCTGTCAGTGTGGACCCATATCAGATATCTCATCCTGAGGGTCCTGGGGTTCTGCATATTGCAAGGTGGGGGTGGCACCAAACCAAACCATGCCAGGATGGCGATTTCCCCTGTATGTCTTTCTGTAGCCCAGTCCTGTTATTCTTTCAGCAACTCTAAGCTTGTATCATTTGTTTTGTCACCGCGCAATCCCTCTGGATATTGAAGATCCACTGAACTGTTGACCTTCAGGATTGGTTTCCCAAAATTATCAACATCTCAGCGACTCTGCAATAAGCTGACCTCAAGATCTAAGATAGACCAGCTTGGGTTACTTCCTCCTGATTGAACCACAACTCCCAGGAACCGCAGCCAGAGTCTGGTGGCGAGATATTCAGAGAGTTCTAGATTCCATTATCTGAAATAGCAGAATAGAATTTTTATCCCTATTTATATATGGCAGGGGGCTTATCTCCTGTCCCTCTGTTAACTACATTTTAATAATATTCATTCTTACAGACTAAATGAAACATATGGAGCTTAGAGCCTAAAAATAAGAATTAATCAAATAAAATAATTACATTTCATCATTTTGGAAAATTACCCATCTAATAGACACTCACTTAAATATCCAACCCAATATTTCTGTTCAAATATATATATTTTGTCAAACAAAGAAAAACAAACAGACAAAACAAATAAACAATGCTAATCTTCAGATAGCATGTCATGCAAATAAATAAATGGGACAGGCTCAAAATATTCTTTGCAGGCCTACTGCCTGTAATATATTTAATAGATAATGCATAAAAGGGTGAGAAAGGATAGTAAAAAAAAATTAGGGGAGGAAAAGGGTAGAAATAAAGGGTATATACAGGCAGCCTGGACCAATCCAGGACTGGGAAATTGAATGCTGTATTGAAGATAGACAGGGGTACAATTCAAGGAAGAATTGTCAGAACAAGAGACAAAAGAAGGGGAGGAAAGACAATAGAGTGATACCTGTTCTTCATGGACAAGACAGACTAAGTCATATTTACTAAACAGTAAGGCAGCAGCCAACATTAAAACCTTTGATCAAACCTCCATAAAGTCAACACAATTCTATCTTTTCCATCATTTAAACATATCACCATAAGTCACTGTTTAGTGAATATGCCCCAATGGATAGATGACAGTGCAAAATAAAACCAACAAAAAAAAATAAATGAGTAAATAACAGAGACAGGGATAGCATTGATAACAGAAAATATTCAGATTAGATGAGAAATGAAAACATGGATTTAAAGAATAATAAAACATAACATATTATGGGCAAATTTAATACAACTGCTGTTTAGTATTAAAATCAGCATTAAAAAAATGAAGAGATAATTAAGTGGACATATAAGAAGGGTAAATGATGTAATCTCTTACCAACCCTCAGCTGACAGTCTGTGAAAGTCTACACGTTAAAATAATGGCATCGATAGAAAGTGTCAAGTATTAAATGTACCGAAATGTCATAAAGGCACATTGTCAAAGACTTCAGGCATATTTGGCAGTTTGTTTCAATCTGAATATTGCAGTTTTCATACAGTTTGAATTTTTTTAGTGATTACTAAATATGTATTATTTACTAAAGTGTGAATTCAAGTTTAATTTTGAGTAACACCACAATAGCCTTAGTGAAATCATAGCTAGCTTACAGAAAGTGTCAGGTTCAGCATTGTGACCTTGATTTACAATTCATTTTTAATTCAGTTTGAACTAAATAGATAATTAAATGTAGCTAAAAATCAACGTTTACATTTTTGATCCAATACAGTAGATTTGGAAAATTAACATTTTATTTCCAGCTCAATTATTTTGATTAAAATGTTGCCAATCCAGATCCTGGATCTATTTCATGGTTTAGTGAAGACATTTATCTAACAAAAATTTACTTCTTCAGTAGTATCAGTTTTTGGTTTTTTTCCATTAATAAAACATGTATATTAAACATGGATAGCTAGCAAAGGGACTTAGAATAAAAAAGTATTTGTATGGCCATGCATACATACAAAAATATACACAATTATACTTTTTTTTTTATTGATTAATTGATGTTTGTCTAATAAATTACTAATATTAAAACTAAATAAGTAAAATATTAGAAACAATTAGCTAAATGGTACAATATTTTGTTTTTACCTTTGTCAGAAACCTGACATAGAATGCAGCTCCCTTGCATGAAAACCGTCAATGATTTTTTAGAAAGAAACGTCATGACGTAAGTGACGCTGCATGTATGTTTGGGACGTGTCTGAGTGCTGAAGTTCGCAGTCCCTGAATGCCGCAGACAGAGAAACACCTGAGCATTTGGGTTATGTCACTTAAGCAAACCTTGTTGCTGCATTAGAATCATTATATGATACAATTAAATAAAATCTTGAAAAAGAAGATTATAAAGAAGAAATGGCTCAACTAAGAAATTCCTTATTAAAACAATCCCAGGAAATTGCAGTATTGTATCAAAAGTTGAATGATCTTCAAAACCAAAAAGATTCTCTAAAAGCGGATATTACTAAAATGGATACGAATCTGACTGATCTCGAAGATAGATCTCGTAGACAAAACCTGAAAATTAGAGGAACACCAGAAGAAATTGTG